GAATGAACAGGAGACCCACTCTGGGAGAAAGTAGTTCCAGAAACTCTGGGTTTCTTCCGCCCAGACAAGAAGGTCAAAGCTGGTGGCACTGACCCTTAGGGGCCTGGCTCGCTTGACAGAAATCCTTCGGTGACATTTCGGAGCGACTGCAGCTGAGGGAACGACTAAACTGTCGCAACTTTTCCTGGTTCCTGCACAACATTTACCCAGAGATGTTTGTTCCTGACCTGAAGCCCACCTTCTATGGAGCTGTGAGTCTTGAGAACCAATGTGCCCACCCATCATCACAGAACCCCCGGGAGAAGTTCAGGACCACTTACCCCGCAGCTGGATGACAAACAACTGATTTTTACTCTCCACGCTCCCTTATCCAGGAGGAGGACCGAGAGGCCACCCTGGGCTTCTAGAGCTAGCTAAAAACCTTATAAGGAGGAAACAACCCCTAAGCAGCGGTTCTCAAATACTCACATGCATCAGAATCACCAGGAAGGTCTGTTAAGACGCAGGCTGTTGATTCAGTAGGACTGGGTTGGGGCCTGAAAATTTGCGTTTCTAACAAGCCTTCAGGTGATGCTGAAGGTCTGGGGATCACACTTTGAGAACCACTGCTCTTAAGGACATTCCCATATGCTGAGGGCTTCTCCCAGGGACCTGGCAGGTTGCCCACCCTGACCTTGCCCAACCCCTGGACTCTGCACCTCACTTTGCTATTCACTTCAGGCGTCTGCCTTAATGAACAGAGGAGGAAAGTCACAGAGGAGAAATCTAGCTGTGCACGTTCATTCCAGATGGATCCCACACCACAAACCAAAATATTCCTAACTGTGCTCCCCTGGTTCCCCTCTCTGCTCAACATTCTGCAGCTCAAGAACCTCGGCATGGATCATTGCCTGGATGTGGGAGAGAATAACAATGGAGGAAAGCCCCTCATCATGTACACCTGCCATGGCCTTGGCGGCAACCAGGTACAGAGCCCAGCCCGAGGCAAGCCTGTCTCTGGGGCATCTTCTCTCTTCACAGGCCCCCTTCCTCCACTCAGAATCATCCTTTCCTGAGGACTAGGGTAGGGGAGATCCAGAGAGAGGGGGATATACCAGCCCTGCCCCCAGTCTGAGGGGGAATGCATGATACCGACAGACAAGGTCTTAAGTGTGAACCAGTGGCATCCAGAGAGGAGTGGGCAGCAGTGCTGGCTGCTAGAGAGGGGCTCGGGGGGAGGATTGTTTTCTGGTTTGGTTTTTTTTTTTTCCCACACTCCCCACCCCAGCAGGGGAGGATTGTTCATCAGAGGAGGCTTCCTGGAGGATGCCAGCTGCTGAGTGATGTTTTAGGGTGACTGTGGAAAATTTTTGAGCCTCTCAGCTACACTCAACTTCTATCTTCAATGCCTTCCCTGCCCAGAAGCTACCACTATGATCCTAGCACCCATCAGTGACCCCAAAACAACCACCCACTGACATCTCACAGCTACCTGGCATCCTGGGAATTTTCCCCATACCCTACAATGCTCAGCTCTTCCCTGAGGAATAGCTAATAACCTCCCTGGACCCAGCCCCTCAGGCTACCCTGAATGCCCAGCATTTGGTAAGTTAAGAGGCACTTGAAACAGAGCTGAGGGCTTCCCTGGTGGCGCAGTGGTTGAGAGCCCGCCTGCCGATGCAGGGGACACGGGTTCATGCCCCGGTCCGGGAAGATCCCACATGCCGCGGAGCGGCTGGGCCCGTGAGCCGTAGCTGCTGAGCCTGCGCGTCCGGAGCCTGTGCTCCGCAACGGGAGAGGCCGCAACAGTGAGAGGCCCACGTACTGAAAAAAAAAAAAAAAAAAAAAAACAGCTGAAACAAGGAAAGGAGTGGCATGGGCCACTGAACAGGATGTTCAAATGAAGGCAAGGTCACTGGAGCAATTTCCTGTACCGCTGGCCCGCATGGTGATTTTAGGTGGTAGACTGATGAACATTTTTCAATAGTAATTTATTAGCAAAAAAAGAACTGGCACGATTTCACCAATAATGCTTTAAATGAGGCTAATTTTTTTTTTTACCTTTTTTTTTTTTTTGGTCATGGCTTACAGCATTTGGGATCTTAGTTCCCCGACCAGGGATAGAACCCGTGCCCCCTGCAGTGGGAGCGTGGAGTCCTGACCACTGGACTGCCAGGGAAGTCCCTAAGTTAAGTTTTTAACTAAAGAAAAAATATTTAGTAACTATTATCTGTCATTCCAGTATCACCCAGATGCGGTGGCACACGAATTACTAAAGTCTTGGCAGCTACTCGCTTTCCTCCCCAGGAGGCCATCTGTGGTTGGCGTCTCGAGGCAGTTGGCTTTGGAAGGTGGTGGGCAAACTCTCTGCCTGCCCCTCAGGACCTCCTCTTATCTTGCGTTCTAGTACTTTGAATACACAGCCCAGAGGGACCTTCGCCACAACATTGCAAAGCAGCTGTGTCTATATGCCGGTGCTGACACTCTGGGCCTTAGGGGCTGCCGCTTCACTGGCAAGAATAGCCAGGTGCCCGAGGATGAGGAATGGAAATTCACCCAGGTGAGCCAGCTGCCCAGAAAGCTCTGAATCAAGAACCTGAGACCACAACTGCCCCCTCCCTTCCTCCTGCATCTTCTGCCTGACATACTATGGGGTGGATCCGGACAATGTACAATAGAAAGCATGGAGAATGTGGGCTTGGTCACAGGCAGGGTTCTCAGGGCTTAAGTAAGGTTTGGTGATGGCTGGTTCTGCTTGATATAAAGATGGGGTCGGGGTTATGGTCCAGGACCAGCTCTGTCATAGCTCACGTCTTTTTAGGCTGAACACAAGTAGATGAAGAGTCACTTGTGGTTCCTGCCTGGCCTCTGTGTGCCGGGCACAAGGCTCTGCACTCACATACACTGGTTTGGTTAATCTTCCAAGTAGGTGGTGTCCCCATCACTAGAGATGGGCCAGCTGAAGCTCAGCAAGTTTGTGACTGGCCCAAGACCCTTCACTAGTAAATGGTAGGCCTGGGGTTCTGATCTAGATAAATCTGACTCGAAAGCATGGGTTCTTTCCGTTACACCACACTGCCTCGGGATAAATGATGTAACTTCTACAGGATTGGGCCCAAACTAGCAGCCCCCAGTGAGCCTCCACACCCCACCCCACCCCACCCCAATCCCCAGTCCTTGG